CTACTGGAAAACTATTTCGATACCCTCCTAGTAGATTACTGTCCGAATTGTGAGGAGCTACTGGTGGAAGTATATGAAGGAGCGTCAGGCATCCGCGATTACTGTGATTTTCATTTCCTTTACTCGAATTGTTTTGTTCAAATAAGACCATGTGTATTTTGCATCGCTGAAGGGAACTAGGCACTTGCTGAAGAGGAATATATCGAGGATTTTTATGAGGATTTTGATTTTCGAGATTATTGACTTATTTAGGTAAACGGATGTTTTGTTTTAGGAAATGTAACCGGAACTGGATTTCAGTCCATTCGGTTCAGGGATTTGTTTTATGTTTTGTTTTACTTGTGGTTTCAAGTATCTATTGATACTTAGTTTGTTTTACTTGTGGTTTCGAGTATCTATTGATACTCAGTTTGTTTTGCTTGTGGTTTCGAGTATCTATTGATACTCAGTTTGTTTTACTTGTGGTTTCGAGTATCTATTGATACTCAGTTTGTTTTACTTGTAGTTTCAAGTAGCTATTGATACTCAGTTTGTTTTACTTGTGGTTTCAAGTATCTACTGATATTCAGTTTGTTTTACTTGTGGTTTCGAGTATCTATTGATACTCAGTTTGTTTTACTTGTAGTTTCAAGTATCTATTGATACTCAGTTTGTTTTACTTGTGGTTTCGAGTATCTATTGATATTCAGTTTGTTTTACTTGTGGTTTCGAGTATCTATTGATACTCAGTTCATTTTACTTGTAGTTTCGAGTATCTATTGATACTCAGTTTGTTTTACTAGTGGTTTCGAGTATCTATTGATACTCAGTTTGTTTTACTTGTGGTTTCGAGTATCTATTGATACTCAGTTTATTTTGCTTGTGGTTTCGAGTATCTATTGATACTCAGTTTGTTTTATTGATGGGTTTTGATAAGGAACATTGGGAAACTAGCCCATGCAGGACATGGACGAAATCTTGTATTTAAAGACCACTGATTCCCTTAAAGGAATGGCAGACTTCGACTGACAGAGTATTTCTAATATACTTGGTTGAACGGTTACCCCTTCAAGTCCCTATTCTTCATATCTTTCTCTCAGAGCCTCCCTTAGTGCAGTACGCCCAAAAGTTGTAGATCAACTTGTGCGCTACTCCTATTGTACCGGGAAGCATGACTAGCATTCTGATGCGAACACGTTATACAGGTAGACATCCTGGCTCCCGCTGGAAAGCTGCCGTCAAGTAGGATCGGGCCACTGAGTCTCTGACACTGTGTCCAAAGGACACCTGGGCAATCTGGCCTCATAGTCAGCACTTGGCCAGAACTCCACTAGAACTCTGCCAGCATAAAGACCACTTGCATAACAGGCTCTCACTCTACCAATATTAGTGCTGGGTCAACTTCCAAGGTACTGTTAGAAGGCTGGCGTCAAGTAGAACCAGGCTGCCGAGTATCAGAGGCTGCGTCTCCAGGACGCCCAGGCAATCTGGCATCAAAATCAGCACTGTGCTAGGGTAAATACTACTTTCATAACAGGCTGTATCTCCACCAATATTGGCGTTGGGTAGACGTCTAATATACCGTTGGAAAGCTGGCATCGACTAGAATCTGGCCGCCGAGTATCCGAAGCTGTACACAAAGGACTCCGGAGCAATCCGGCATCAAACCTTGTACTCCGCCAAAACTCCACCAAAACTCCACCAGGTTAAAGACCGCTTTCATAACAGGCTGTAGCTCCACCAATATTGGTGCCGGGTAGATGTCCAAGGTACCGTTGGAAAGCCGCCACCGTGTAGAATCTGGCCACTATGTCTCAAACACTTTGCTTCCAGCATGCCTGAGGAATCTGGCATCAAAGTCAGACCTCTGCCAGAACTCCGTCAGTGTAAAGACCACTTTCATAACAGGCTGTAGCTCCACAGATATTAGTGCTGGGTAGACGTCTGAGGTACTGTTGAAAAGCTGGTGTCAAGTAGAATGAGGACACTGAGCATCGGATGCTGTGCCCAAAGGCGGCCTGAGGAATTACGCGTCAAAGAACCTTGCCCACTAGAACCTCTGGTACTGGTAAAGAAAACACCCAAGTCCAGAATGCAGGGGAGATAGTATGCAGGACACTGGTTGGGGGATGGGCTGGTAGGGAGGGGGGGGGCTGGTCAGGGGGGGGGCTGGTAGGAGGTATTAAAGGGGGAGCAGCCGCCAGCTGTATTTATTACTCAGAATCTCAGGATGGTAACTAGGCAGCATCGCTCACTTAGGATGTAATCTGGACTTGGCACTTCTTAGGATAAGTGCTAGGACGCAACCTGACTTGGCGGCCAACTACCAGACGCACAGGATGCAACCAGATCCAGTACCCGAGTACCAGATCTACAGGATGATGCAACCAGATCCAGCGCCCGAGTATCAGATGCACAGGACCCACTGAATGCCAAATTCTCCCTGCTTGCATCAGGACACACTGCCCATGGGTCTGACACAGGAATAATTTTTGCTGATGTATCAGGTAAGCCCACATATCTGAGCAAACAAGAAAGGCTAACAAAGAAAAGACAAACTCATACTCCTCCAACATACTTTTTCTGCTATGCTTTTCCATCATGCTCCTGTGCTGTATCCCTTCCACCATCCTTCTCCATACTGCACCATATGCCCTCCAAGTCCTGTACTCCGCTGCCATTCTTCTGCACTACTCTACTGTTTTTTCATACCCCTCTGTCATTCTCCCACACTCCTGTAGTAGCACTCTTTTGAGAAACAAACAATCTATCAAAGTACTGGAATGGAGGATAGGGGAATAAGGAAATAGGAGAATAGAGGAATAGGGGAATAGGGGAATGGGGGAATAGAGGAGTGGGGAAATAGAGGAATATAGGAATAGAGAAATAGAGAAATAGAGAAATAGAGGAATAGAGGAATAGAGGAATGGGAGGATAGGTAGATTGGGGGATAGGAGACACTGGTAAAGGGAAAGGAGAAGGGGGGGTAGTGGGGGTAAGGAAAGGTGTAAGCATGCCGAGCAGCATCTCACTATTTCCAACAGGATCCTACATACCATACTCCAATGTGAGCATTGCTCATCAGGTACCCTCCTCCTGCCTCTGCAGCAATGCAGCCCAAATCTGCTTCTCTCACTCAGAGCCAGTTACCTTTTAAGTCTTCATTTGTCCCATTATGGTATAACGTGATGTTACCAATTGTTTACTTTCTTAGAATATGACTTATAGTATTTAAATGCAGGGTATCTCACTGGGCTGACTCATCATTTGAGACATCCGGTTTCCCGGTGATATCTGGTTATGATACCCTGTAGGATACGTTACTTGTTAGTTGTACCACACTCACCGCCCCTCAGAAAGAAAGAAAAAAATAATAAAAAAACTTGAAGTGGCAGTAGTAATAGTGGACACCCATATGTTTAAGCACTCGCCCGCCCGCCCGCCCGGGGGTCCAAAAACTCTCCTCATCGCTGTTGTTACTCTGGTCCAAAACTTAAAGCATGATATCATACATAACCCCCGCTCACTTTTTTTTTTCTTTTTTCTTGTGCCTTGTTCTGGCCGTTACGCCCAATTTTGTAGCGCTCCACATAATTCCAGCGCCCAGGACGTTCCCAGACTCACCGATAGCTATCCCAGCAAGCGTAATATGAAGTAGTAATAGTAGAAGTGTCAGGCATCCGTATGATACCGGAAGGCACTGCTAAAGGCCTCGAGAGTCGGGGTTTACAAACTGTAGTTTATACGAATTTCCTCATCCTCCTCTTCCCCCCCCCCCTCATTTCCCATCCTTCCCTTCAGAACTGCTGTGCCCTTATCAGGCGGTATATAGGAGTGCGCTCCTGACGAGTATGATACTTAGTTTTTCTTTTCTTTTTTACCTACGATTCCTCCCAGTTTTCTAGGGTAACCTACTTACCACTGCACAAGCGTTCCGCCAGAAGGAAGGAAGGAAGGAAGCAGATAAAAGTACCCATTAGATAGATAGCGCACCAGATCATGCACAGGAAATTACAATCAAATGTACGACACAGTAGCGTACAGTACACCCACAATCACGAACCCATCCGACCGTCAACCATCACGGGCACAGCTAACTTAATCCCCACGATACTCCAAGAGTACATTTCCCTCAAAACGTCCTCTTTCTTTCTTTCGCGGTGCATAATCGAATAGAATAGAATAGCAAAACACCCCCACCTCCAACCACCGGACCAGTAACCCAGGAAAATGCACCAGTTCCAGGCCGCTGTCCAGCAACAAACCAGCATACGGATAAATCTACCAAAACACTCCGGACGAGGAAGATATATATATATATATTCAGAAAGAGATGGGAGGAAAAAGTAGCAGTAGATAATATCATACAAAACTGACCGATAGATTGACCGACTGACCGACTGACAAGAAGGCTAGATGATAAATGTCCGGTGAGCGCTACAAGCACCACCAAAAACCGAAACAGGAAGGTAAAGATTCAACTGTTCCCGAGACCACGCCATGCCATGCCACACCACAGCCCACCGAAAGTAGTATATACGAATAGTACATAGTACCACCTCCCATCCTCCAAGATCAGACAGTACTGTACCGACCCGAACGGCTAAGGGTGATAGAACAGGCAAGAGCATCCGTCTAATATCTATCCATCTACCCGCGATCCCAGCCGTTCCAACCCCGAGCGATGCTTTTTTTTTCTTTTTTTTCTTCGGGACTTTGTCGGTGGGGATGTGATCACTTGCGGACCAACATTGTGAAAAAAAACCGCCGGGTCATGTTACTTCCGGTTTGGTTCGGTTTCACGGGCACTTCGGGTTGTGAGGATGGTTGGTAGGGTGCTTTTGTATAGTGCTTGTATGGGGAGTCTTTTATGCTTCCTTCTTGTGCGTGGTGGTGGATGAAGGATTTTCGGTCCATGTTCGGGCACGGGGGTGCATTGGAGGATGGGAGGGGGGGTAACCACCACAGCGGGCTCCGGTACATATGATATAGGAAACTCAAACAAAATTTGCAACCACTTGATCGATCAATGGCACCAAGGCCCTCGCTATTGACTAGTGTACACAGTCACACAACCTCCCTTCCGTTTTGCAAGCAATAAAAAAAGAAAAAAAGCCACCCTAGCAAATTCCCGTTCCGACGCGACCCACTTCTCTCGAGTGACATCTCATGTCTCTATCATACACTCATTACATAAGCCTAACACCAGCCTGCTTGCTCTTCTTCGCTGCGCTCTGCACCGCATTCTCGGTGGCCGAAGCGTTGAGACTACTCGCCGCCTCGCGCTTCTTCTCATCATCAATCTTCTTAAGCCTCTTCTCGGTCTTTGCCTTTCCACTGCCCTTTCCATGAAACTGGTGGGAGAGGTGCTTGAATGCCTATACAGACCCACAGAATCTATACATTAGTCTCATGTTGCCATGACCATACCAGTGGGAGGGAAATGATATATATACGAACCTCCTTCTGCGACATCTCCCGGCCGAATTCGTCCTTATAGCTAAGTTTGACGTCGGGTTTGTACTCCTTAAATCTCGCCGCCATCTCTTTCGCTTCCTGCAGATCCCTCTGCTTGTTTTCCCATCTTGCGTGTTCCTCGCGCTCTCTCGCGCTCATGCGGTCGAACTTCCCACTCTGTCTGTCACGCAGACGCTGGGATTTGGCCTTCTCCTCGGCTTCCAACTCGCGCAGGCGCTTCGCCGCGCGAAACTTCTCCCGGTCGCGTTGGAGGTTAATCTTTGCGTCGGACTCGGAGTCGCGATTCAGGAGGCCACGTTGGTGGAGCATTGCCAGTGTTGCACCGACACCATGCGTTATGGTAGTTTCCTGGGCGAGACCAGTCGATGAGATTTCTCCAGTCTCGGGGTCCGGTTTCATCTCCGGTTTGATGTCTACGTCCATTTCTTCTGGTCCGTCTTCATCTTCATCCTCTTCGTCGGCCATTGAAGTGGCGGGAGGAGAACGAGCGGATACACCGGAACTGGGCTTTCTTCGTTCCGGAACGACTGGCGCTCGGAGGGTAGCGACGAATTCGGAGGTCTGGTCGATTACTAAACCCGGCTCTCCTTCCCCGTCCTCCTCTTTCACCGGGCTCTCTGCACCTGGAGTAGTGACGGCAGCAGACTCCTCGCGAAGCTGACGAGCAAGATCATCCGGTTTTAGCATCTTGCGTTTCTTAAGCGCTGTCCTGCGTTGCGCCGCTAGTGAACTCTGTAAGTCATCGTCATCCACGAACGAAGTCTCCTCAAATACTCGCTTGGGCTTTGGTTGTACCGGAGCTGAGCCGGAGTCAATATCCATCGAGTCCTCAGTCGGAGCTTCAGGAGGAGGCGACGCCAAAGTGTCATCGCCATCCTCGGACCTCTTCCGAGTAGCTCGAGTCTTCTTCCTTTTCGGTTTGCGAATCTTAAGTGTGGAGGGATCTACATAGTCAGAGGTAACTTCGGGCCCTACAGGATAGTCAGCAAAGCCGAAAGAGTGACTAGGCTAAAATGCCACGTACTAATAGGGTCTAGAGTAACAGCTATAGCTTTGAGCTTTTCCGCGACTTCCCTACGATGAGCATCGACGTTGCTAGCGCTTCCAGTGCCATCGAGAACGAACCTCTTCTTTTTCTTCCCATCAATCTCCTCATCATACTGAGCCAATATCCGCTTCTCTCCATCCTCACCCTCATCCTCGTATGCATTGTAAGTCGGTTTCTTCTTTTTGAGATCAAGCCGTTCCTTAAGTCTCTCTCGCTCCGCAAGATCCGTAGAAATCAACTCGTCGCCCTCCTCTGTGCAAACACACCGCCACCGTAAAATCAAAAATCAGCCTCCCAAGAAAGCAAGTGGAAAGGGAAAAATGTGAAATGACAAACCCTCATTCTCCCCAATAGTAGTATCTTTCAGCGTAAGAACTGTCCCCTCCCCATCCAATTCACCCAAATCATGACCAACCCTAACCCCAGTCAAGTCCTCAGCCGTATACTCCTTCCTCTCGGCCGCGGCGCGCTGTAACTCCTCCTCCATCTCCCTCGCCATCTTCTCCGCAAGCTTCTTCTGCCGCTTCTTCATCTTGCGGACCCAAGTCGTTGTGTCCTCCTCGTTCTCATCAGCCTCGCCCAACCCCTTGCCCTCCAGCTTCGCGAACCGTTTCTCCGCATCGCGCGCCTTCTTTATCCCTTCTACTCGGGCCTTGCGAGCGTTCTCCTTGTCGATGTCAGCCTGGCGCTTCTTCCAGTTGTCGACGGCGCGGCGTTCCTGGGCGTCGACGCTATTGTCGGGCGCGGTCTCCGCAGGCTTGCTTGAGGTGGTGGGAGGCTCCGCATCAACCTTTAACGGCTTGAGACCGAGGGAGAGACGGATCTTATTAGTTTCTTCGATGGATAGGGATTCCTCCATCTTGGGGTTCTATGGGGGGGCGAGCTTCCGAAGTGTCTATGAATAGTGAGCTTAACTTTTGGGTCGTTGCTAGCAATTTGAAGCAAGGTTCGCCAGAAGCTCCCAACGGTTACCCGGCTGTAACAAAACCAGCGCGTTCCCGGTGACGGCGGGCTTGGCGCATTTTTTTGTGTCAGAACCGCCTGCCGTCATGCCACCCAGTACGAGTACCGGTATCATCCCGATAATTCCTATCAGCACCCTCGTCCATAACACAACCCCCCTCACCGTACGAGTACACGGTCCCCGAGTACAGTACCGGTAGACCCAATTTACTAATTCACTCAATTCTAATTGCAATAACAAATAAAATAAAATAAAAAAGGCCCCAGAATATAGACCGGATATCGTATTATCCAGTGCTTTTGATTCAACAAAGAAAAATAAACTAAAAAAGGATAAATCCCAAACTCCTCTTCAAGAAACGAAGGAATGGACGACCAACACGCAATCACAAAATTACATGAAGGAAAAAGACCTTACTATAGTTATGTACTCATACTCCCTTTATACTCCACCCAACCATCCATCTCATAGCCTCTATTGGCGTCAAAAATGGAAATGAAAAAAATTGGAAATAAAAAGGAAAAAAATACTGCAAGGATATTATGACCCCACAGATGATGCAGATAAGAAATAACAAGAACATAATCTGGTAACAAAAAGCACCATACACGTACACTGCACAGTAAAGTGGCAAGGGAAAAAAAAAGAGGATAGTAAACACCGACATCATCGCCATCAACGCAAGCTATCGTCGCCCATAATCTGACGCTTGCTGTCGATATCCTCAACGGTTCGAACAAGGTCCTGAGTAACCATGTCAGCCTCACGCGAAATAAAAGGGAAAATTTGTCAAGGGTGGGAAAAAGCAAACCTTGGTTTCCCTAACCAAATCAAATGCCAGGGATGCTAAACGCCCCTTGAATTCCTTGTCCGCCGCGCCGTCGATTGGCTCCCCCTCATTCGACATCTCGGCCATGCTCTGGAGACACTTGCTCAAATTCGCCACAATCCAGCCTCCACGGTCCATCAACGCCTCATTGCCGGGCTGCTGCATGGAATTCTCCGTGCTTTGTAGCACCTTCCATACAACAGGAGCAATATTGTCCACGTGCTCTCTTAGGGTTTGCATATCGGCACCAGCCCTAATTGATGTAAGCAGCGACTGAATCGATTCTACAATCCCCACCATTTGAGTCTCCAGGAGTATCTATTACAAATTAAATACAGAAGTAATCAGCGCCACGCAGTGAAGGTAGGGGGAAGAGGAAAGGAACCAGAACCCACCCTAAGCTCCTCGAAGTTGCTCCCCACGGCTCCGCCTGCAAAAGCTGGGGATCGAGCTGAGCTCGGTTGAGATCCCCACTGCTCCTTCCCCCCCAAGGATCCGTTTCTACTTCTATCTCGTGAGTGCTCTGGAGAACTATAGACACTATCTCCGCTAAGTCTGGAACCCGATTGTCCCTTCGAAGCCCCATTCGTCTTTTGAGCTACCGCTCCGACACTACCCACACGGTTTACCCCATATGCCGAGGCAGGGGAAATGATCAAATCTTCTCCATCATCTTCCAAGTCACCCTGCAGCGTAGGCCGGATCTTAACAATCTTAATCAACTCCACAATGCTCGCAGTCAAGTGACTTGCCGCAGCATCAACCAAGGATACAGGTGACAATCCTCCGCCAGTTGCATGATTCTTAGCTGCAGTGGTCAAGTTATTTGCGGTGGCCGAAACCCTAGACTTCAGCTTGAGCCTATCGTCATTATGGGCCTTGGATTCGTCGATATCCTCAGTAATTGACCTAGTTGCCATGACCACAGCCTTAACATACTCCAATGTTTGCGAATAGTTGACACCTCTAGCGGTTCGCAGAAGCTCATCAATCGAGATCTGGAACTTGGTGACGTGAACATCCTTTACGAGGCCGTTAGGATCCGAGAGGCCCCCCTCCTTAGAAATGAGGGAGGTTGGTGATTGCAAGGTCAGCCCCATGGACGATGTTCTAAGACTTCTTAGAGTAGCCTTAGTGCGGGCGTATCGAGCCTTCCATTCTTTAATCTCGTTCTGAAGTTTTTCAATTTCCGAGGTCAATCTCTCTTCCCGTTCGAAAGAGTGATCCGCTCGTTCCGAAATCGACTTCATCTGGCTCAAGAATTCCATAGCCTCGCGACGAACTTCTTCAGTGACCTATAAAAATCCATCAGCACCACAGTCCAATACACATGCCAAGTACCAAATACCTCTTCCTGCTCCCGCAGTTCCGCCTTTAGCCCTTCGTGCTGTTTCAGCAAGTCTTCATACCTTCGATCCGAAGCAATGTCAACGGTTTGCTGCGAATCACTCGATTGATCCTTCAAACTCCCCCGATTGGCGGATCTATCAGCCTTGACACTCGAAAGTTCGTTCTGGATATCCTGATTAAGCTTCTCGGCAGTTGCGAGTTTCCCCTCGAGGTCGTGTTTAAGTTTTTCCCATTCCTGCCGGTCCCGATCATGATCCTGTTTCCCATCGTCAAACCCAATTCTACTGCAGTACTCAATATTCAAGGATAACTCACAACCTCCCTCCGCTTCCCTTCATCCTTTACCCTAGCGATTTCCTGATCTTTATCTTCCAAGCTAGCCTCGAGTCCTACAACCTTATCATGAAGCATTTCAACCTTTCCTTGATACTCGGCGATAAGTTTTTTGTCAACCTGAGCAATAAGAATTATAATTAGTCCTATATTCCGTAACACCCGTGAGGATAAACATACTTCGCTACTTCCACCATTAGCCACACTACTCATACTACCAATACTTCTACTACTGTCTCTGCGGACCCCCGGACTAGCCGGTCCGCTCCTATTTCCATTAGGTTTACGACCTGGATCTTCCAATCCGAAGGCACCCCCTTCATCGTCATCATCGTCATCCTCATCCTCAACTATAGTGCTCTTATTCGGAATAACAGTACCGGATTGAAATGTCTTGGGCAGTGGTCTTCCAAAGGATTGAGTAGCATCTCCTCTATTGGGCGAGCCTCCCCCCTCCATCCCGGGACGCCCCAACCCACCTGGTGGGCCATTTCGAGGAGGTCCACCCGGTCCCATTCTAGGCATGCCATTCGGACCCGGTCCGTAAGGCCCGGGAGCGCTTCCCGGAGGCCCACGCATCTGACCAGGACCTGGCGATCCCATCCTTCCCGGAGGGCCAGGGCTCCCAACTCTTCCAGGACCAGGGCTCCCAAGCCTTCCCGGAGGCGCCATTCTTCTGCCATCCACACTGTTTGTGGGGCTCCTCTCCCTTGTAAGCTCCGTAGCAAATTTCGGATATCTATTCTCCAGCTCAAAGAACACGTCCGTAGCTAAATCCCGGAACCTTGTAGCAGGGAGCGTGCTGAGCTTCTGCCGAGCCTGGTTTCTCTTCGGATGGAGCCTATCCTGCGATAGCAAGTATGGTGGGGGTCTGTCGTTAGGCCCAGAACTCGCGTCCACCCCTTCCCGCCGTTGAAGTTCATCGTAGACATCAGTACTGAGCTCCTGGAATTGCACCACGCTTAGCCGAAGAAGCTTGTCACGGGCCCTGTTAGGTCGAGAATTGCCGGGATGCGATAGATAGGGTTGTAAAAGTTTCCTCAGGGCGGTATGGTGAGCGGCGACTTCCTCCTCCTTAATGATATCCCTGAGAGACGAGGCATCACTCTGAGGGTATAAGCCAGTTCCGTCCGAAGATCGAGCTATCGATGATGGTGGGGAGACATCCTGGCGCTGCCCAGGGGGCCCCATACCGTCGCCGTTTGTAAGCGAACCGCTGCGAGGTGGTGGTCCTCCGTAGAGTTGATCAGAGGTTCTTTTCTGGTATCCCGATATCCCAGACCAATCGCTGCCGGCTACAGAAACAGGTGAAAGCGCCGAGCGTGGAATGTTAGCGCTACCGCTCATGGCCGTGTGGGAGGAAAGAGGTCGGTCCTAAATGTATTCTTGCCCCTGTTGAACAAAGGGAAACGAAAGCCCTGGTAAAAGGTAAGGGTTTCGACCCCGGATATCGAATCGAAGGTTGATCCTCTCAGGTTTGTCCTTTTAAGATGAAAGCCCTGTTGCAACGGAACCCCCCCCAGGATATATAAACCTTGAAAAAAAGAACCTCTCTTCCAAGCTGACCCCAAATATTTATCCGCCGCCCCTTACGATCCAAGTCGTGTGATTCGTTTCGTGTCTTGTTAGGGTAGTCGTTGGTTCTAACCTATGAACACTAACTGGCGTTTTTCCTTTTTTCCTCCTCCCTTCTCCAAAACGTTTTCCGCCGACGTGTACGAACCAATGCAATATTTGCTTTTTCCCCAAGCTATCGTCACCCGCCAGAAAGGGGTGGTGGTGTGTGGCACGAAAGTCCGTGGATTGAGGAGAGGCAAGAACAATAGGCTCCGGAGAGTTTTTTCTCGGTGAAAACGATAAGAGGAGCAGAGCTATTTTTCCACTCTCCCGGTGCGTGCAAAAGGGGAAAAAAGAAAGAAAAGGAAAATAAGGGGGAGAGGGCGAGTAAGAACCAATCGCACAAATCAAGAAAATATCCTTCCTCCAGCAACAGAATAGATAAGTGACAAATAGGAAGCGAGAACACAGCTATACTCTCCAGGCGTCGATGAACTCTTTTCAGCCTCTCACAAAAAGAAAAGAAAAGAAAGAGTGCCAGTATATCAGGGGCGAGTTACATGTACGAGAGGGAGAGGGGAGCAAGAGAAGAGAGTTGCAGGAACAGAAGAAGCAAACAAGCAAGGACAACGAATACAAGTACGGGAGATGGGATAATCGTTAATGACAGAACCTCGGTCCGGGGGGGGGGGGGGCTGACGAGCCAAGGCTTCTCGGATCAAGAGATTGGCCTTTTCCTTCCTTCTCGAAAGGAATAAAAGGGAAATGGAAGGCAGGGGTAGGCGGATGCTCCAGGGGTAACTTGCCCCCGATTTCGGCATAGATTCTTTGCGACGTGACTTGAACCGACTCAAGTCCCGAAGCGTTCCCCGGGCAAGCAGGCGTCGTGCCACAGCCTTGCAGGTTGGCAATCATCACCATATGTCGAAGCTAAACTCGCAAATACACAGGCACTCAGCACAGCATCGTGACTCGGAAAACAGCCGGAGCGGGAGCGGGAGAGAGAGAGAGAGAGAGAGAGAAAGGGGGAAGGGGGTGAGGGAGCGAGGAACTTCAGGATTCCAAAAAAGGAAACTTCAACTGAGACGATGACTTCAACTGCTCCAAGGCATCGAGGTGATTCGACCCAACAAGCCCAAAGCATTCTCCTCAAACCAACCCCAACCATCCAATCTTAAGCGATATATTATTATGCATGCAGGCGAGAGCCTCACCCACAGCCGGAGAGAGAAAGAGAGAAGGGTGGGACAAGTGAAAAGGGCAGATAAAGAAAGGCGGACCCTCCAAAAACACCAAAGTGCAATAAGGTTACCGGTCATCCTCTCACGGTTTTTTTCATTATTGGCCATGTATCATTGTATTATAAGCGCGCGTGAGGTTACCGCCCCTTCTCCTTCACGGATTCCAGCATCGCCAAGAAACGGGGGGGGGAGGACAAACAAATACACGAAACATCACTCGATGTGCTTTATGCCTGCGGGAAGGAAGAAAAGGCCAGGAAGGAGTCGGTGGTTCGAGAAGATGAAGGTAAAATTAAAAATTTTTAAAAAAAAACCCCCGTATCGCCCCATCAGGGCGATAACGCCGGTCAGTGCAAGGCACGGTTACCTCGCATTCTGCCGAGAGGTGAGTGGGTTCCCTTTTCTAAATCACGTGTGGAAGGAATTAAATGAAGGGTGGATGGTGGGATGTTCAAATGTCCGGTGAAGTGGGCGCGAAGGAGCTATGGTACGTTAGTCCAAACCCCAGGGAAAACATCCACCATATTGTGGTCTAGTCTATCCTTCGCGAGTGATGACATAAGTTAATCCAACCCACCGAGACCGCACACAAAATCCGCAGGACCCAATCACCCAACAATCGACCAAACGACCAAACAAATCCCAAATAAATAAACGCAATCCCAATACGATACGGAAATAAAACCCCACTCTTGAAGTCCACCCAATCATCAAAGAACCTATGATCCAATGCTAAATAAACAACCTCGAGTACCCAAACAGGTCAACACAACCGGGAATAAAACAAAATATATAGCATACCGTACCCATCGCCCAGGAAAAGAAACAAAAAAAAGAAAGGAAGAAAACGAGAAAAGAAACCCGTATCTATCTACTGTATCCAGACCTACCGGTAGTCGTAAACTGCGTAGCACCATCCAAAATTTCACCGCACCCGCATCGTAACACGACATATCACCGCCAGGACCCAATCCCATCCCATCCACAGAGCTAAAAATAAAAAAAAAACGTCCCAATTCTCCGCCGTGCTCCCCGAGACCCAGCCGACATGACGGGACAGGGGGGCAGGACGGTGCGGTACCGCATTTCCGCCTTCGGCGTGATATTTACTTGTATGACACCGGGGTGCATTGAACCTCCAGGAGGACTGTGTTTATCTATTCGGGATGCCCAGCCGGGGGAATGTAATCGGCGAGTGATGAATTGTGATGTTGTCCGTGCGATCTGTCTATTTTGGGAAGGGAATTGCTGGTGGATGGGCTCTTGTACTCGAGTATGCTCGGGGATCACTTTCTTTTCTGTTAATTTTTGTGCGTGGGAGGGTGTGGTGATATTTCGGTAGACTAACTTGGGTGTTTGTTTGTTTGTTTGTTCGTCCAATGGGTGGCGGGTGTATATCTTGCTCCGTTTTAGCATGGTTTTTTTTTTCCCCCTAGAAAAAAAAAAGGACCAGTCCAGGAATCGACAACGGTTTAACTGTGGGGAGGGGGGGGTATTCGATTCGTCCAGTTCTTGTGATTGTATGATGGTGATGATATGCTATACCAAACATCACGCTAGATAAGATGAGGAGTTTTGGGTGAGGTGGCGAGTAGCTGTAGTCTCTCCCAATGATCACCACCGCCATCACTACTATTATTATAATTATTATTATTAGCAGGGCCCCAATTTCACATAATATACCATCCCTATCTGGAAAGATGATGATATCAACAGTCCCCTTTCAATGCTGCGCCGCTAGGTGATGGCAAGAACACCACCAGCTGGCCTCAAATCTAGCAGGTAAGCGAGCAAGTAAGCAATCATACGCACACCACTTCTGGGACCTCGAAGGCTTCCGATACTCGTGGTATGATACAAAGCCAACAATCGCGAGTGCGCATAAGTACGAATTCAATGAAAGGGAGAGGATTATCGGATTCCAAATTACTTTGCCCACTCCATTCTGTTCCGGCCCGTGGATGCGGTGCAAGAGCAATGCGAGCGATGGGCGTATCGCCGCCCGGAGTTGGGTGTGATGGCCAACTACTATTATCATGGCCACCGTAAGTTGAGGATCGATTGGGACATAACATAATCCAAGTCATACTTTATCACTCGGATTTCGGTGTTTCTCCTTAGCGAGTGTATAGGGGGCAAGCACAGTCACGACACGTGTAGTGTTGGCAACACTTGTGCTGGTGGTAAAAGTGTTTAATATTCCGCCCCGCTACCTACACCCAGAGCACAGTTTGTGGACAAATAACAGACAGACAGACAAAAGGACAAACAAGCAGAGAGAAACAAAACACTGACTAACAAGCCTGACCTCACCAACCAACTGAACTTGACCCCCCCTTCCCCAATCTAGTCCTATCCAAACCTAAACAACCAAAAAAGAAAACAAAAAAGGAAAACTCCGCTCCCTCTACTCCAAACTCTCAAAATCTAACGGAACGCTACTCCCCCTCCCACTCGGATACACCTTCCTGACTCCACTGAAAGGCCTCGGCTCCGGCAAGTCCTCCTCACGCTTAAACTTCCACTTCGAGTCATTTATTTCCATCCTCTTCTTCTTGGTAAGGGTAAACTTGCTTGTGTCCATAAAATTTCGCTGCAGTTGCGATGGCTGTGACTGCCGCGCGGCGGGTGGGGGAGGTGGTGGAGGGGCGGGTGGGTGAGTACCGAATGTCGCGGAGGCTTTTCGTGCAGCCGCTAGCGCTGGGTTTGGGCCTCCGTTGACAGGCGGGAGAGGAGGTGGTGGGGGTGGATTGCTACGTGGTGGCCCCGGCGGAGGGGCTCTGGGTACTGAGCCCGAGGTTGGTGGAGGTGGAGGGGCGCTGGGGGGTGGTGAATCGGTTTGGATGTGTGAGGGAGGTGATGGAGTCTTGCGTAATAGGGACGGACGGGAGGGCGCAAGTGACGGTGGAGGTGGAGGTGGAGGTGTGGACCTTGAAGGTGGGCTGCTGGGGGAGGTAGGAGTGCCGCGGAGGGGAGCGGAAGCGAGCGGTCGCTTGATCGGTGCGGGCGGAGGTCTGCGGAAAGCCGCCTGCGAGGGAATTGCTGGTGCAGATCCGGTTGGTGCGGTAGGCGTCGGCCGCAAACCCACTCTGGGTGGCATAGGTGGCATTCGTGGAGGAATAGGTGCAGTAGACCTTGAAGATGTGCTCTCCGAGTCTGAGATGTATGAAGAATCTCGTGATGCTGTGAAACCCACAGGCCATTAGCTGCCATCTGTCCACTAGAGTGGGGTCATAAAACAAACCTCCCGTATCAACACCCCCCGACCGACTCTTCAGCCTCGGCATCCCGCCCGCAAACAATCCCCCCAACTGTGGCGCCGCCGTAACCAAACCTCCTCCCCCTCCAACGCTGCCCCCACCAGCATCGCTATTGCTCCTCGCTCTCCCCCCATCGCTTCCAGCTCTAACCCTTGGAACCAGTGGCGCACCCGGAACTGGTGGAGCCCCCAACGACGCAACCCTCCCTCCACCCCCAACCGCACCCCCGGCACCCGCGACGGTCGGGGCACTCCTGTCATTCGTGACTGCTTTCCGCAATCTTATCCCCTTCGTAATGTCCGAGTTAAGCGCACCCTGTTCAAATTTTCATATAAGATCAGCCCTGTCCTTCCCGACGTTGCAAACGGGTTCGACAAATAGGGCCATACCCGATCTCCTCCTTTTGCTGGCCGACCGATGGGGCCGCCTCCCCCCGGGGGCGGAGGCGGTGGAGGCGGTGGAGGAGGTGGTGCTGGCATAGTTTTTCACCCGCCTGCGTTTTTTACGCTGTTTAATGTTGAATCTCCTGGTGGCAATAGTGGTCGCAGTATATTTTGTGTTGTTGAGGGGGGACCTGAAAGTAGGGGAGATGGGTTAGAGTGGGAGAAGATGTGATTTAGGTAGATGGAGAGAGATGCACTTGGGGGGAAGAGAAAGAACTACCGTAGGCCTGTACTCGAGTAACTTACTTCTCGACTTACGTATGTGCCAAGACGGGGCAGTGTGGCAGGGTAACTTGGTCATAGAATTGTCACTCGGTGAATTAACTGGATTGGATGAGCGGTTGAGAGTGGAGGATTGAAACCCCCCCCATGGGTGCGGCCTTTAGGTGTTTAGGTGTTGCGGTTTGAGGAAGAAAAATATGTAAGTGTTTCTAAGCCTTAGTGGGGAAGGGTCCAAAGTTTCCGTGCACTCTACGATATCATATTATGATAAAACAAACCTCTCACTCGGCCTCCATACTCGAGTATCATACCACAGCCTCATCCCCACCCTATACCTTTAGCCAAACCCAGGAGGTTGAACCCATTAACCCCCTTTATCATGGTATCATACCAAATACGCGTTCACCACCAAACCTTAGATGAATCCTCTACCGTTGTCTACACTATCATGTCACCCACACCTCACGCTGCAGCTTGATTCTCCTCACGAAAGTCATTTCCCTCCACACGGTGTCCGCCACCACATCACCATCACTTTCGCTCTCTATCTTTACCCCCTCTCCAGATCGAGAAACCCCAGGCGAATATCCATCCGCCCATACCACACTTCAGAGACTTCGAAATGCCCAGCAACCGCTCAATCACCCGCCGAGAAGTCTTCGTGCCGACACCGTTCACCATCTGGGAAGATGAACCTAGATCCCCTCAACCACTCCAGCCCCAGCCCCACAGCCGTCACATACTTTCCCCCCGCTTCATCCCACCCCTCATACGCCCCTTGACTCCGGTTTCCGGGCGCAGTAGTCCCACCCCGCCCGCCAGCGCCGCAGGTGGGCCCGACCCCGTCAAGAGGGATCCCTCCACCCCTCCCGCTGGGGGGAGCAAAGGCGGGGCGGAGACAGAGACGCCAATGAAGGAGAAAAGAAAGCGTGGAATTGCAAGAATGGTTGGCCGTGTCAAGGGCGCTCTCCATAGGTTGCTCAAGGGGGTGAAGCATGAATGAGGTGACATGGAAGGGTTCTGCGGGTGTACGCTGCGCTGTGTGCGCACTAAAGTGCGTGGAGACATCGGGTGCTTGAATGGCTAATAATTAATAAACAGATTGATAAACAAATAAATGGAATTTGTCTATAGAAGTGTTATCAATTATCTGTGAAGACATAGAACACCTAATCCGTTCAGCTCGAATGCGAACGTACCTTCCCCCACCAGCGCAACCAACCATCCTAGTAAGCATGGCACCAGAACCACACTTACGTATCATACATCTGAAACTTCATCCTGGTCTCACGCAACTTCGTATCACATAATTTCATGAAATGCCAGAAAGGAAAGAGAAAGAAAAACCCAAACCCAAACTCCCCATCTTGTCGTCCCGCCGCTGGTCCCTCCATCGGGTCAGAAATACCCCACAGTCCACAGGGCCGGCAGCCCTGGAAACTTCTCCTGCCATTTTTCCAGCACATCGGGAACCCTCCCATCGACTGTCTCACGGACAAAGTTCGGGCCTGCCTTTTCCCGCTCCTCTCTAGCTGCCTCGGATAGCATATTCGCGAGTTCCAGAATGCCTTTCCCACCAACGAGGGCTTCTTCGTGATTGTCTTTTATATCGACGTTGATGATGTGCACTAGACGGTTGAGGGGAGAGTTGCGGTTTGTCAGGTCTAAGCGTAGAAAACAAAAGGGCATTAGTTTTTACATAACGATCGCATGGGGAAAGGAGAGAGAGAGAGTGTGTGTGGGTGGGGGGGGGGGGGGTACCATCAACAACAATGTCCCAACACCGCTCTTCGCAAGTAACCACCACGTCGACAACTCCATCCTCAACCCCATCCTTCCTCGGAACACCGATTTTCCAGTCCTGCCAGCGCTCGGGACAGCCCTTGATTCTGCGGTTGCGATCCAGCATGCCCAAGAGGCCGTTCGCATGGTAGAGTCTCGGGTCCCTTTCTTTCAGGGAACTGTACATCTCATCGTAGGTTGTGTTGTTGAAGGAGTAAATATTTGGTTTGTCGATTGATGGGCCCGGCAGACGGACGGCCGAGCCAGTACCAAAGGAGATTACAGGGTATTGTGACAGTGACAGAACGAGGTGGGCTTCCATGGAACTGTTTTTGCACGCAAGGTTTTCTCAGCTTGTCTATCAGAGCATGTTGCGAATGATTTCTCTTCTCTTATCGCCCCGAGCGATCCATTGCCGGGATATTGTCACCGGAGAGGTTTCTTGGGGCTATCGGTACAATATGGTACAGGATCTAGGGTCGATCCGACACCCCGTGTGCCCTTTTTTCGCACACGGGACAACACGTGGGAGGGAGGGAGAGAGGTTTGGGATGCACAGCAGGACAACCACCGCTCTACATGGCAATGGGGATTCATTCATCCATGGGAATCATCAAGTGGGGGGGGGGTCCCTCGTGGGGTCGGATAAAGGGGGAAAAAGCAAAATGGAGAACAAACCGATTCTGATTACTAGCACAAACCGTGCAAAATTTCAAGGGAAAATCCTTCCTCCCGGAGCCCCCATTCTGACCCCTCAGCTCCTCGTCACGATTCTGCTGAAGGTCGGGTGCGGCCTCTGGCGCGAGGGCGGTGGGTAGCGGTTGAGAGGGGATTTGCATCATGATTGGCGGGGGACTAATTGACAAGATAGACGAGAATCCAGCATTAGCGAATCGGAGAATTAATTCATCTCTACTCCCCTCCCCATGAGCATCACCCACACATGGCAATTTGTACAACGTGGGAAGAAGGGGGGGAAGGAGGAAGCAACAGTGGGATTGTGATCAGGTTTTGCGTATAATTAGTGCTTCGTCGTCATCGCCTGTGAAGGGCTAGGACAGCTCCAATATATTATAGGGACTCATCATGCACAGACAAACGAGGCAAGGCTAAATGAAATGAAATGCGAGGAAAACAGCGGACAGGCGGATTATACCTTCTGACGATGGTGATGGTGATGATGATGATGATGATGATGATGATGATGATGATGATGAAAGGATTTGAAACGCGTATCGAGTGTGTCTGCGGATTAGCAGGGTGGTACTGTAGATGTTTTGCTCCTCCCGTACCGTGGGAAGGCGAGGTGGTTGTCGATGGTTGGGTGGGTGGGGGTGGATGGATGTCGATGTGAGGGTGCGGGCGGGACCGTGGGAGAGACCTTTTGGGGTTCGTACAGGGGAAGAAGGAAGGGGGCCACGCCACACACCCAAGGCCCGGCTGCTTGCGAGGATGGAGGCAACGAAAATCTGTGTTTCTGAGCTGGATGTAAAAATAGAAACGAGACGAAACCGCCGGCGAAACACACAAGGAAGAAAAAAAAGCAAAAAAAGTCGGGCTTTGATCACAGACACACGCCCTTCCACAAAACGAAGGCGAGATACAGCACTGTACTCGAGTACTCGGGTACTCAGGTACTGTACCGTACGAAAGCCTAAAGCGGAGAAGAGGAAGAGGAGGAGGAGGGGCAGACTCCAGTTATTACAGTGGCCAGTAGGCTAGATGGAAGGGTTCGGATTATGCATATGATTGCAGAGGGCAGAACCTGCTGTAGGTTACATAACCCATCCTCCATTCGCTCCCTCCTCCCACCATACCCACACACAGGCACGGTGCTGTAGCACGGAATATTGTGCTGTATCGGAGTGCACGAGTACCGGTACCGCACTATGCAGTATTCGAGTGCATACACTCCACCACACACTTATACTATGATATGCTGCTATCACGCCCTACCACAGACCGTGGACCGGAATCGACAATCGTCAGCCATGCAAGGTGACGCGGGGTAAGCAAAGGTACCTGTCCCCACCGCGAGTTATCATGCCCTACTCCAAACATGGCATCGTCACGGGCGGACCATTCGAACGTGAGTCCGTATGATACCAGTACTTGTTCTGTACCCGGTAGGTTCCCCCGAAGCCACAATAACCTACAGTAGGGGTGGATACCCGTGTACCGTACCCTATTGCACCTTGCATCGATATGACAATCGTGCCTGGAAAGCTGTGCCTCCGTTGATCAATCAAGGCGCCGTACTCACTACTCTACCAACAAAATATTGGTAGAGGAGCCTGTGCACTGTGCCTGCTGGAATGTTGTGCCCCAGAGTCGGTAATGGGGCATGGTACTGTACCTCTACAGGGCCGCAGTTGTACAGCTATCGTACTCTACCGATACGGTATCCGAACTTTCGTTATCTACTGTGCACTGCTCCCCATCCATTGGGCCCAACAGTTTTTCCCTTGACTGCTTTCCTTTTGTATTACATTTACACACACCTAGGAGAACGGGGCAAGTGATAGAGAGAGAGAGGGGCGGGGCACGGGATCTTGTGTACTTCCTAACGGCCAGAGCAGCACAATGGGGTAACTTATATAGCTATTGTGCGAACGGGTGATAGGGTACTGCAGAGGAAGCAGTGGAGATGTAATCCACCGTACAGCTATACCACACCCCAAGGGATCCCGAGTATAGTGCGTATGATACAGCAAGAAATTGGACTTGAGACTCCTTATGTCCTGATGTTTCCCACAATTCGGTGGGGGATCGTGGGCTGGGTGAACAATCGCAGACAAGGAGGCAGAAGGGGACAGACAAGCACACAAGGGACAAGTCAACCTCAACAACCAGCGATCAATAGCCAGCCAGCCAGCCATAGGCGACACACCACACACCCGACCACGAAGTCGGGAAGGAGCATGTCGGGAAGGAAGGGAGGAAGGCTGTATTCTGAGAAGAAGAAAAAGAAAAAGAAAAGAGGCAAGAGAGAATGCAGAAGGGCTATCGCATCGTGCAGTACTGCTGCTGCACAGGAGTACGTATGGACGGCATTTACATTTATTTTTTCCTGCAATCGTAGGCGGACAAACGCTGTCGGATCAGGAACAGGACGGAAAGCAGTTTCAAGGCCCAGAAAGACTGCAAACAATAACGTAACTTACCGCCGTAGAGCAACTCAGTACGCTTCTTTATCGTCTTGTGGAGGATAGAATAAAGTTAATGGGAATGCCCAAGAACAGTGGACGCGCCCTCACTTGGTTTCCACTTTCATCACCTCCTTACTCTGCCCCATCTACGCTTTGTTCGTCGCGATAGGGAGCACCTTAAAATACGAGCCCGAAGCCGAAGGGTCTGAAGGGAGGGAGTGGGAGGAGAGGAGAACGAAGAAGAAGAGAAATAAAGGGTGAGTGGGTGAAGGGCAAAGGAGGGAGAGACCCCCCCCACTTCCATCCACACCCACACACACAATCACACACAGACCGTCCACCACCACCACGCTCCTGCCCTTTGACAACCTCTGCACTGCTTACCTACCCAATACTTGCACACTACCAACCAACCTACCATTACTAAAACAACCGCAACCACCGCAACTGCATAGAGCAGAGTAGAGTACACCGCATACATACCCTACCGTACCCTACCCGCCCTATAACCTTCATCCACTCGATACCTACTACACACTCACGTACATACGATACCGATACCCCACGACACACCCGCAACAACACCCTACACACTCCCCCCCCCATCCCCCACTCACTCACACTTTCCTAAACTTTCCCCTCCTCCATCCCCGCCATTCATCGGCTTCAACGTTTTACCCATCACACCCGCGTCGTATTCATCATCAACTGCCATCATGGCCTCTGTCGCCGCCGTCGCCGCTACCGCTTCTTCCCCTCCCCCTGCCTCCCCTCCAGCTGCCGCAAACGCTAATGCTAACACTGCCACTTCCACTGTTAATAATACTCCTGGTACTCCCACGCCTGCCACCCCTACTGCCCCCGCTACCATAGCTACTGCTATTTCCTCCGACTCGTCCCCACCGCTTGGAGAGCCCCTCTCCACACCGTCAAACCCCTCAAGAGGCCCTCCAACCCCCGACGAGCCTCCTCCTCCCACTTCCCCGCCAACGGCCCAAAGCACCATTTCCACAGCCAGGCACCGGATACCCTCCTTCCCGCCCCCTCAACCCTCCAGAATCTCCATCATGTCTACCCTATCGGCAAAGGGCGAGCCCTTCCATGCCCAATTCGTCTCGTCGCTGTCATACACCTCCGTCCGCGACTTTGCCTATCCGGCGCTTCACCCACTACACTACGGCCCCTCATCCGCTACTTCCGGCCTATCCACTCCCGCGGGTTCCCAGCGCGGTTCCCAATACTTTGATCATGGCAGCAATCATGGAGGCCAGGCTGGTACCTGGTTTACAGGGGGTGGGGGCGGTTATCGGAGGTTATCCGACCCTGCACACCCCTCCTATGACTTTGGCTTGGGCGGGGATGCGACATGGGGCGGGGACTCATACAGGCAGCGATCGAATCATAATGACAATCACCCGCATCACCATCAGCCCCCACCGCTGAATTTCTCCGACGGTCCGCCCTGGAGCGAGGATGAAGATTTGCAGAGCCCGGTTGTCGTCTCCAAGCACAGGAAACACAAATCTTCCGCGGCGCATTTGCAAACCAGTTCTCAACATTCTAGGGGCCAGAGTAAGAACGTCATCACACCCACCACGCTTCAGCACTTTGCCGGGAATAGCCATGGTGCCAGCGACGGTGGGTGTGGGCCCAGGAGAGGAATTGGCAATGGCGATGTCGGGTGCGGGGGCGAGGAAGACTGGGATGGGGAACGCAGATCGATTTTGGAGAACGGAATTTCGCCCGGAGGGGATTATTACACGGGCCGATTGGGGCGCCGGACGGATCTCGCTGGAGGAGAGCCTGGGGGGGAATTATACAACCATCCCGGGGATGGGGAGGGATATGGACCCAACAGTGCGCGGCAATATTATCACAGCCACCACCAGGGCGGTGGGTACGGCGGGGGGGGAAGAGGGCCGCTGGATGTCAGGGATGGGGATGAAATCGACGACTTGCTCGACGATGATGACGATCTTGAGGAGGAGGATAGCAGGTTCAGCCGGGATTATCAGTTCACCATTGCGAGTCCCGACGAAGAGATGCATGGGAAGGCTGTTGCGTTATTCGACTTTATTAGGGAGAACGAGAATGAGCTTCCGTTGGTTGAGGGGCAAGTTGTGTGGGTTAGCTATCGGATTGGAGTGGGTTGGTTAGTGGCCGAGGATCCGAAGACTGGTGAGCTATACCCAGCACCCAATTGGGTTCTTTCAGGACTAGAGCTAATGGGAAATGAATGAATAGGCGAATCAGGCCTAGTCCCGGAAGAATACGTTCGCCTCCTCCGCGATCTACAACCACTCTATACCCCACAGCCGGAATCGGGATCCCCACCCAATCATCATCACGGTCAGGAATCCCCGCTGATATTATCCGGATCTCCCCAGCCTCCGTCCCCCTCCCCCTCCTCCCCACAACAACCCCCCTCAACATCTTCGACCTCGGCAACCTCAACCTCGAACAATAGCGCCCTCAACCCTCCCATAATCTCAACATTTTCGACATCATCGCAAGACGTCCACCCATACCCGTTCCAATTCCACTACCCAAACGACCACCCACCGGCGCACATTAGAGCGAAGTCATCGCCGGACCTGACTGGGGTAGAGACACCAACAGCGGGAGATCATAAGGATCGGATCGCGCAGCTGCAGAGAGAACAGGAGAGGGCGGTCTTGGAGGAGGCGGCGATGGGGGGTACGCCGAGGGTGCGTACTGGGGTTGGGTTAGGATTGGGGAAGGGTGGTGGCGGGGAGGAGGTATTTTACGACGCTATGGAAAGGCAGCACGGTCAGCAGCAAAGTTCAGTTGGGGAGTTGGATTTCCGAGAGGAAGGGAGGGGACGGTAGTGGTGACTGGACGGGCTAGTAATTGGCTGTTGTTTTTTTTCTTTTCATTTTATCTTCTTTCCTATTTCTTTCCTCTCTCCTACCATAAAGTTTGCAGGTTCGTGTATCCTCTCCCAGTAAGCTCTCTGAACCTTTCTCCCGTTTTTCTGCTTTCCAAAAAAAAAAGATGTTCACGTTCCTGACGTTGAATTTTATCGTTCGTTTCTTTCCAATTATATTATACTCTGTTACCTTCCCCTAGCCTATTTCCTGCTTCCTTGGTATTTACTTTTCTGTTTTTTTCCCTTTTTCCCCTAGTCATCGAGTTGGGTACGGCTTTCTTTTTATTTCGCATCAGTTGTTTCCTGCCCCCCTCCCTTTTTTTTACCCTTTTCGTCCACCTTTATGATATTCCGTCCCGTTTGGAAAAACGGGCGATGCGGGGTGTGTGTGCATTTTCCGCGATACGTGGAACGGTGTTGCGATGCGTTAGGTGGTAGTGTCGGTCGGGTTGGCTGGCGAACGAATAAATGAACACTACACTGTAGCGCACGCTCTCTTATGGTCGGGCAAGCGGCGGGAGCGAAGGGGAGTGATGGGCAATGATGCATTCCCCCCTTTCCAAATTCTATACTATACTGAATCCTCGGAGGGCGGAAGTGAGCGTAGAGCGAGGAAAGGCATGGAGGGAAAAAAAAACACCAACCATCGTTGAAAACCCCACACAATTCAAAACCCCGGGCACTGTAATCCTCATCATTACACCAACTCCTTCCCTTCACAAAACATCACTCGTTCTTTCCATCCATCCATTCGTAGTGACACGGGCACCTATGATACTAGAATACCCAATCAAGTCTGCCGGCTGACAACCGCTCACCTAGGTATTATCTGAAACAATAGTGGAGAAAAGAAGGAGAAGAAAAAACAAGAGGGAAAAGTCCATTACCGACTTATTACCCCCCCACAATTGATAAATCCGAAAACCTGAATTTCCATACGATACGTACTACTTGTACCATCCATCCGCGACTGCCTTTTTTTTTTCGTAACGCTTTCATCGTCGTCGTCGTAATCGTCGTTAAACTTTTATTCGAAATATTTCCTTGAGCTAATACTTGTATTGTCCAGCACGTAATTATGCAGGAGTGGCCCCCCCCAGCCCCCTTTTTTAAATAAAATATCATAATGAAAGTTGAGACGTTTCCTCAAAACAACAAGCCTTTTTTTCATTCCGGTGCGTATTGTAGGGTTATAAAGTTTGTGGAAATGTCCGAGTCCTGACAATATATTGAAGACCTGTTCCGATTTGTTCGTTTGCCCTGACTGTTTATCTATCCAGGTTTCTGGTACAGTACGGTTGGATGGAAGATGAAGCTGTAAGTGTAGTCGTAACAAGGCTTGCTTACCATCAATTGTGTGTGTGTGGGAGGGTTTTTGGGAGATATCATACCTAACATATTATGTCTTATCCTCCGGATCGGTACCGTGCCAGCTATGATATAATAACTCCCGTCTATCATACTTTTCTATTCACTCGTGATGGGTCTGTATCAATCGCTATCTGTCCAGCTAGCTCTAGGAAGTAGAAATTAAGTCAATTTACTCTTGTGACATGAATGAATCCTGTGAATTGGGTTTCTGTTAGACAACTAACTTAATATGTGCCACTCAAGTTACCAGGTATGGAGAGATAGAGAAAGGCTTAGACTATCAATTCTTTTGGAGGATTTTCCAATTCCCGAAGTCGTCACTGGCTCGCTTTATTTATTTATTTATTTATTTGTGCGAAGTTAGGTTATTTTTGTGATGTTTTGTTGAGTGTTGTATACTGTACCCTACCTTGACCAGTAGCAGCGCATATTACCACTGCAGTCTGCAGGGGAAAGGCTTGAATCATCGGAAGTGCTCGAGTGGACCTACATGCTACCTTAGGGCTGTATAGTATAGAGAGGTTTTCGTGATTGTGGGTGCTTTACTCTTACTCGGGTCTACGGGTGCTTGGTTGATACTAACTTATATTGTTCTTACTACATAATCTCTATCTACTTGACTGTTGCATCTCACTCTATATATCAATATTATGCACCATATGATACAAATTATCTCAAAAATAAGATATGGTAACTTATCTAACTAGATCAGTGAAGTAGGATCATATAACAATTCAGGAAATGAATTGCCGAAAAACCTACCTGTTAAAATATAAAATAACTTCCAGGAACTTCTGTTATTGAAATTCTTAGTCTTGAGAGCTCAGCTGATAGAAATATTTTAGAATTTAAGATATATGTTCTATTCCATCGGTCAAGAGTTTTGCTTGGTCAAGAGGATATCCCCTTGACCAAGTAGGTCACTTTCCCTGTAGGATGTCCATCTCACAAAGTAAATTTTGATCTATCCCACTCATCAAGAATTTACAAATAATTTTTTACAATGCTATATACAGGACTCAGTAAGAAATAATTAAATATTTGTTTGAAACTAACTAGTCCAGTATATCTCTCTCCATTCCAGCAAATTGTTCCCTAGCCTTGGTTCTCCCTTGTCAATCTACCAGTACTAGTAGGTTGATCTACCAAAGCTAGCTCAGTCCGAATTGCCAGCTCGGATAGATTGTCACAGTCATGTTCAGTTGCGTGACAGTGAACTGAGCATTTGACCTTGTTCTTAATACAGCGACACCTTCCCTTACACTATGGTCCCTTACAGTTGCAAGAAATGCTGATTCTCTCACTGGTTGAGATTTTGCCTGCCGCAGCATGAAGGGAAATAACAGTAGACATTGGTGTAGAAGGAATATCGATCAAAGCCCCAGCTGAATCAGGAACCTGAAGTAACTGAGTAACTGGAAAGTGATTAGAAAGTACTCCATACTTAGATTGTAGCTTATAACGGTTCGGATAGCTCTCGGCAAGAACACGGCATGTGATTCTGATAGGATCAGTAGTGGCACGATCTTCACAGGGTATTTTCAGCGTAACAATAGCATTGGCAATAAACCTCTCAACCACATCTTGACGATTATATTTTTTTTGGGAACACTCACGAGCTCTGGCAGCTGCTGGTTGAAGGGCTAGTTCTAGTTCCGTTTGCTGGATTTGGGTAACTCTTTCTGACTCGTGGGATTCTGGGGGTAGGTTGCTTGGTTCGTTTTCTTCTTCCTCAGGTCTGCTGTACTCATTCTCTGAGTCAGGCTGGTTGTTGGCCGAAGTCAACTGAGCATCCATAATCTCTCGATTCTCTAGTCTATCTTCTTCAAAATCAAACTCCGAGTCCCATCCGTCTTGCTGTGAATTAAGTGCTGAGATTGGTGCTTCAAGTTCTGAATAGATATCTGAGTTTGGATCGAGGTTGATAGTACCTGTAGCTGAATATTCTAATTGTGTGCTTGAAGTTGACTCCTCTAGAATATTGGAAATTGTTTGCTCAGCTCGAGAGGCAATAGAGATAGCCTGTTCCCATCTAGGCTTACGATTGAACATGACCTCATAAGGGGAGCGGCCATCAAGACTTGAATGACCTTGACGGTTCATCGCTAAAGAAATTTCAGGTAGAGCTTTTGTCCAGCAATGAGAATTGCCTCCAGCTGCTGCTATATCAACTTTCCAAGCACGCAATTTGGTTTTCATAGTGGCATTAGCCTGCTTGATGAGTCCCTGAGTTTGAGGAGTTCTTGGACGTCCATTTTTGACTTTAATTCCATACCGTTTGAGTAGAACCAATGGGACACCTTTAAACTCTCTTCCATTATCGTACTGCAGAATTTCTGGTACTCCATAATACCCAATCCAAGTTGCAATCAGTCCTGCAACCTCCTCAGCACTCTTGCTTTTTAGAGGAATGTCACGGCCACCAAATTTTCTTCACTCTTGTCGCGTGTTTCGTACCTGGAGGAGCTCCCCGAAGTTCTCAGGATTCACGTTCTTGAAGGAATGAGTGTGGCAAGACGGACCAGTTGACCATGTGCGGCAAGTTGGATTAGTACGTGGCGATTCCACGTAGCAAGAGATAAGAGCTGCACCTGGTCGGATACAGAGAAGGATCTCCTAAGTGTTTTGGAACGTACAGGAAGGACGTACGTTATAGATCGGAGGATTTCTTATGGTGGTATGTTATGTTGAGCTCGGAGGAGCTCCGTTAGATTGAGGGATTTCCTTTGATATATCTATGGGGTGTGCCCCTTGATATTTTACTTTCTTTACGCAATCTGGTAATCTCCTACCTTTGTATATACTTAGGAATTACGTCTACTCTTTGCTCTCATGTTTATCGTGAAGCAACCTTCAGATTGTTTACCACTCCGCTTTCCGGACTACGAAAGAGAACGACATTGATACCTCGTTCCTCTTTATCTTTTCATGCTCTTGCTTTGCTAGTCTTAGCTTGACCACTAGTAGCGAGCCTGCAGTATGGCACGCTATCTTTGATTAATACCCTTTGGCCTTCCTTCG